CGGACCGAGGCGTGACTCGCAGGTGCCCACGCGTGCCAGCTGCGGCTGGGCTAGGGACGCAGGGTCGCCCAGTGGGGAGCGGGGACCTGACTCTCGAAATTCGTTGCAGAATGGAGGGGGCTGTGGTCGCGCATGGGAACCCGCTCGCGGCTCAGCGGGTCTAGGGACTTCGGGTTACCGAATGTCAAAGGCGCGGGCAGCTCATAGTTAGAGCAAATCGCAGGATTTTTTTGGGAAACGCGAGTGGTGAGCCCCTTCCGGCTCCAGTCCAGTCTGGGCACTGGAACCACTCCCCGTTCTGCCCGCGCCTCAGTGACTGCCTATCCGGGCCCAGGGCACCGTGGACAGGACCGCACACGAAGTAGTCACCTTCCGCTGCAGCTTTGGGGAGACAAGCGGAATCATTTTCTTCCACCTAATTCTAAAATCGTTAGATGTAAACTCTTTGAGTGTCGCACCCCTGGCCTGGGCTCTTCCTCCTGCCCCTTGTGATGCGGACAGTGGTGAGAGCTCGGATGTACTGTTGGCCAGAAGTGTGTTCAAATTTGGACTGGCCACTTCCTAGCTTAGTGACCTTGAGTAAGTGACTCCATATATTTAGGTTTCGGTTTTCTCGTTTGCAAAAAGGGAAATAATGCGTGCATGCAGGTTGTTTGTGAGCCGCGAGTGAGATATTGAGGGAGCGCAGAGCACTGGGCCTGGCACGTAGTGGGCACTGGGAAGCGTGGCTCACCTCCCACTGCATCCCCCCAGAGTAATGGCTGATATATTATTGTTGTGACTCTTGTTTATTTTGTTGGCAGTTTTATTTTATTTGCAGGGGCTCAGTACGTTGGAGAGAAAGGTGTTTGTCTACCAGTAGGGTCAGTTTCAGAGGACGGGGAAGGACAGGAGGTGCAGGTTGGGGATTCTTTCTATCTTCTCCCAACAATCCAAAGGCGTCAGGATTTGCAGGGCCTCCAGGCCTGGGTCTGGAGTTAGGTCACTTGCCCGCTGTGTGACCTTGGGCAAGTTACTGGCCCTTGCTGAGCCTTCCTGGTGGGTGTGGAGAGGGAGGCCCAACAGTGAGGGGTGAAAGCTGCAGGATGCCTGGGGTCTGGGCAAGTGCTCCCTCACTTGCTTCCAGCGACAAGGACCCTCAGATGGGGTAGATGCCATTGCTTTGGCCCCAGGGGGCTTCCTGCTTCTAATTCAGGCTCTGCCACTGGCAGGGTGGGGGCTGTGGGGTCCCTAACTGCCCCTCCCAGAACCGCATTTTCCTTATTTGTAAAACAAAAAGGGCACCAGCTACCCCCAGGGTGACTGTGAGAACCAAATGAGATAGCATCTGTGGAAGTGCCTGTGAGAAACTCTGGCGGTTATATAATAATAACTTTAATGACAACTATAAAGCTACTGTAGCTGAGAACCTAGCCTGTGCCAGGCAGGGAGGTGGACACTTATTTATTCTTCACAATGACCCTGTGAGGAAAGGGCTGTTAGTGGCCCCAATTTCTCACTAATGAGGGAATTGAGGCTTTGAGAGTTCAAGGGAAGCGCAGCTCCCCACTTGCGGGCTAGAGTTGGCACCTCACCAGCTCCTCTTCCCTTCTGGCTTCCAGTGTCCCGGACTCAGGGCTGCCCTTGTCACTTCAGACACTGTTAAATCGGGACAACAAGGCCCACCGCACAGAGGTTTGTGGCACGGAACTAAGGTGTGGGTGGTACAGCACTGCTCCCAGGGTGTGTGCTTAAGAATGGGATTCTCACCTCCGTTTACCAGCTGTGGACTCTGAATTATTCATCTTCTTTGTGCCTCAGTTTTCTCATCTAGTAAATAAACCTCATAAGATTAAATAAGCTCCTCCAGGTAAAACCTGGCATGGGTCAGGGCTCTGCTTCATTGCTTGGGTTCTGGCTTCCTGAGATCCACGGTTCCTCATGGTCCAGCCCTGTCATCCAGATGAAGGTGCTTTGGGCCACTAATCATAAGCCTCCTTTCACTTCCTATCCAGAGAGCTCTTAGGCAGCTCAGGAATGGGGGTAACTTGGGTCAGGTATGAGAACTCTGAGAATCCTAGGACAGTGGTTCTCAGAGTGTGTTCCCAGAGCAGCAGCATCAGCATCACTGGAGAATTTGTTAGAAATGCAAATTCCTGGACCCTCGCCAGACCTACGGAATCAGAACTCTGGGGTAGGACTTGGCAGTCTGTGTTTAACAAGCCCTCCAGGCGACACTGATGCCTGCTCAACTCTGGAAGCCAATGCCCAGAATGCTGTCCATTTCATCCGAGTTTTCAAATGTGTTGTTACAACACTGTGGGAAGATTGTCTCAGAATTTGCAACTCTCATACGAATCTGTACTAATACCTTCCACTTCTCATTCCCAGTGTTGCTCATTCATGTCTTCTCCTGATCATACTTGCCAAAGGTTTGTTCTTTTGTTGGTTTTTAAAAAAGCCTTTGATGTCTTATCCCCTTTTAAAATGCCACCTCTTTCATGAATGTTGTGGTTTCAAAAATTATTTATTTCTTCTTTGCTGAGTTGAAAATTTGTCAAATTTTCTTTCTTTTTAAATAAATGCATTCGAGGGCATACATTTTCCTCTGAGCACTGTTTTGGCCAGATATGTTCTGATATGTATTTGGTGTTCCTGAGGTTGTAATTTCTTGCTGCCCTTGTAATTTACCTGCTGTCACTTGAACAGTGAGGCACACACACTGAAAGAAATTAGGAAATGAGAATTGTAAGAACCAGGACCAGGATTCCTGGAGCTAGAGAGACCTTCAGGACGCAGCACATCCTCTCCTCTTCTCCATGAAGAAGCTGGGAGAAAGGGGTGCAGCTGGTGGAGGCTTTGCTGAGAGTCATCTAGAAGATGGTGGGGCTTCAGCGGTGACAGAAAAGATGCTGGGATTTCCAACTGGCCCAGGAACCCAGCTGTGGGAGGCTCCTCCAGGCTCATTCTGCCATTGACTTCCTGAGTGAAATGGGACTGCATTTCCCCATCTGTGAAATGGGGGTAGAGACTGAATCAGGACTTGAAAAGTATTTGGGTCAGCTACCCTATTTGAACACCGATGAAAATATTGTGGTCTGCTTCCGTAGAAAAGGACAGAAACACAATTTGGCACATACACCATGTCACAGGTGGCTGACCTGCTGTGCTGTTCTTGGCTCACACACCCTAGTTCGGAGTCCCTACGGGCCCTTCCAGTTTTCCTGATGGAAGGCTCTAAAGACACTTGCCCAAATTTATTCGCCCATTCATTTATTTATTCAGCGAATATTTACTGAGCACCTACTCACATTTCCTGGACCATACCCCAGTGCAGGGGCTTGGTTTCCCCATCTCACAGTGGGGACAAAGCAGTCTGGGCTCTTCATCACTGCTTCCCCCAGTGGGCAGGATGTGGGGAAGAACCTTCCTGAGGAGGTCTGATCAGTCTCAAGAGTCTGCCAGCCAGTGGAAGGAAAAGGGCACGTGGTGGAAAGGGGTGAGCTAGGATTTGAACCCAGGACTTTTAGACTACAAAGCCCACACTTTCTCCTTTACCTTACACCCCTATTTGGGAGTAGGTGGTAAAGACTGTAAGTCACGGGATGGAGTGGGGAGGGGAATCAGTGCAGGGTCTGGGTGAATGAGCCCAAGAGTGGCGGTGAAGGCTGGCCATAGTGGGGCTCACTCTTCTCCCCTACTGGCTTGAGAGTTCCTTTCAGGCAAAATGGTGTTGGTGGCATTTGATCCCATGTCCCAGGGCTGGGTCCAGGGTGTGGAGGACTCGAGGACATTATCAAGGTTTGTAGTATTAAACTCAATAGCACAAAGCAAGGTCAGACAAGGGGTAAGAAAAAGGGGTCAGAATTGGGCGCAGGCATTTGCATGCACTCAGTTCGGCATTCACCTCCCCAGCACCCCCATGGCTGGTTCCTCCCATCCTTTACGACCCAGGCCAGCCCTCACCTCTCTGCCCATCCTCCAGAGCAGCACCCTCACGTCATCATCCTCTCTACCCGTTGATTTCTGTCATTCCCCTCAGAACTGATCTTATTTATCCGGCTCATTAGCTTTATCTGTGGCAGGTGATGTGAAAGAATGATTTCCAAGGTGCTTGGGCTGGGCCAGACCCAGGCCCTGGCAGGGAGGCTGGCAGCAGCCTGAGGAAGCTGGCCCTAGGGCCGGGGGTTAGAGGAGAGGGGAGCAGGGAGAGATTCCTTTCTCCATGGGGTAGGGGACTGATGGAGATAATACAGGGCACGTGAGCAGGGACTGTGCAGATGGCAGCGTGTGCAGGGTGGCAGGAATCGGTCAGTGTGCTCAGGCTCAGGGGAGTAAGGACAGGCAGGGTGGGCAAATGCAGGGGGTGGCCTTCTCAGGGACCTCCAAACCTGATCTCATGCCCTTGTTTCCTTCCCCTACACATCAGCCATTTTTCCCATTTGTGCTCCACAACTTTCCTCCCTTCCTGACAGATTTCTCTACTCAATTTGACTTCGTTTCAACACTTTCGTTGGGCAAATTACATTAAGATGAATGTTGCAGGTACCCTTTATGGTTTATTTATCGTGATACTGTTTGTATCTCACACTTATAAATAACTTATGTTATAGCTTTTGTTTGTGGAAATGTAACTTACATATTTTATTACGCTTTCTGTAAACCTCAAAAAGAATCTTGTCAAGGAAGCACTCTTATCAGCAATCCAAACTATGGGACGTAAAAACCGACACTAACATTATTTTTTAATATGCCAAGGAGGCAGGTTACTCTTGCTGTAGTTTGAAAGGTTTGCTGTCATTGTAAACTTGCACCTCAATAAAACATTTAAAAGTCTCAAGAATGATTTTAGGAAGTTCAGGGAGGAGGATGAATCGGTGGCAGGACCCACAGACACAGCACACAATGGGCCCAGGTCCTGCACTGGCCTTTTGCTGGGAGTGCCTAGTCCCATTGTAGGTGTCAAAGTGGTTCACATTGAGTTCTCCCACCCAACTGTCCCCTAGGCCCAGCTGTGAAGGACCTAGTTCAAGGAATTATAGTGAAAAAGAAACACGAGTTTTGAGGTCAGGCAGATCTGACTTTGAATTATGGGGTGTCTACTTTCTAGCTATGTGGCTTTGGGTCAGTCTTTTAGTCTCAGTTTTCTCATCTCTAAAATGGGGATAATAATTCTTGACATTCTTACCAGGAAGCGTAAAATGAGATAGCAGTTTGCAATGCTTATTTGGCGCTCAATAAATGATAGCAGTTCTGATTATTTTATGTTCATCTTAAAACTTTTAAGACCAGGAGTGGTGGCTCACATCTGTAATCCCAGCACTTAGGGAGGCTGTGGCAGGTAGATCGCTTGAGCCCAGAAGTTCAAGACCAGCCTAGCCAACATGGCAAAACCCTGTCTTTACAAAAAATACAAAAATTCGCCGGGTGCAGTGACATGGGCCTCTAGTCTCAGCTACTCAGGAGGCAGAGGTGGGAGGATTGTTTGAGCCCAGGAGGTTGAGGCTGCAGTGAGCTGTGAGCGTGCCGCTGCATTCCATCCTGGGCAAGAGTGAGATCCTGTCTTAAAAAAAAAAAGAAAAAAAAAGAAACATTTACTTCCTCCCTTTTTACTCTACCCTGCTTTTCTCTTCAGGCACTCCTTTCCCTCCTCATAAGGGGCTGAGTTCTCTCAAATGTTACTTCCCCAAAACTGCTGAACATCTAGATCAAGTTTCCCATATGCTGGATCTTTCAGTTTCTTCAATTTTTCTCACCAAACCCACTCTGTTTTCGGTTCTCATATCCAGCTGTTGGTAGTTAGCTAATCTGGTCACTAATCTCAGCTAATAGCTACATGGCAAGCCACTTCTGCATTTTGAAAGGGGCCCTCACTACCATAATCCGTAGGTACTTAAAGGATGTCAGGGCCAATAGAAGGGAGTCGAGAAGGCCAGGGGGGCTTTTCTGGGCAGTTCAGATAATCACATACAGTGCAGGGACTCTACACTCCTTTGTCCCCCATCCTAGAGAAGCCTGATTGGAAAACACAGAGTAACAGAAACATCCGGAATACAGGCAGACTACATCTTTCTCAGGGGCCAGGTTCTGAAGTCAGTGTGGAAGGCAAAAATTGAGCAAAGTAAAAATCCCTTCAAACTGTTTCTTGCTTGAGCATCCCTGAAGCAGCTGGCTGGACTTAGCACCCACATTGCAGGAACAGTCCATCTGTCTGTACACTAGAATCCCATCAGAAAGGTGGGTGCGCAAACAGCAGCCACACCTCCCACCTCATCCTCTCTGAGCACGTGTGTGAAGTGGTAGGCCCTTTGGAACTGCCAGCACTCATTTTTCCTGTTGTTCAATCTGAGTAAGTTGAATCTGATTAGACCCAGCAGCTCCATTAGTTGTCTTTCACACGGCCTCCACAGGTTTGTGTCTGTGCATGCTTTTTTTTTTTTTGAAGACGGAGTCTCGCTCTGTCGCCCAGGCTGGAGTGCAGTGGCCGGATCTCAGCTCACTGCAAGCTCCGCCTCCCGGGTTCACGCCATTCTCTGGCCTCAGCCTCCCGAGTAGCTGGGACTACAGGCGCCCGCCACCTCGCCCGGCTAGTTTTTTGTATTTCTTAGTAGAGACGGGGTTTCACCGTGTTAGCCAGGATGGTCTCGATCTCCTGACCTCGTGATCCACCCGTCTCGGCCTCCCAAAGTGCTGGGATTACAGGCTTGAGCCACCGCGCCCGGCCTGTGCATGCTTTATCCTTGGGACAGGATGTCCCTACAGGGCCCACTCCCACGTGGAACTCCAGGTCTCTTCTCAAGAGTCCCCCGTCCCTCACCAAGGCAGACTGTGGCAGTCTTGGAGGCAGAGTCCCAAATCCGGTTCTCATCCACTGTGGGATGAGTGTGTAGTATGCGTGAGTGTGATCCTTAAACATCCCAGCTCCCCCACTTCCTTTTCCTCCCTCAGTAAGGGCTCAGAATGGAACCTGGCCCTCTAAAGGAAAAGGAGGGTTCCTTTCCAGGTTTTAAGAAAGAAATTTACAGCTAAAACTCAACCTTTCTAGCAACAGCCAGACAAGAGTTTTGGCAGACAGCTTTGAAAATGGTTCCCAATGGCCGGGCGCGGTGGCTCACGCCTGTAATCCCAACACTTTGGGAGGCCGAGGCAGGCGGATCACGAGGTCAGGAGATGGAGACTATCCTGGCTAACACGGTGAAACCCCGTCTCTACTAAAAATACAAAAAATTAGCCAGGCGTGGTGGCGGGCGCCTGTAGTCCCAGCTACTCAGGAGGCTGATGCAGGAGAATGGCGTGAACCCGGGAGGCAGAGCTTGCAGTAAGCGGAGATCGTGCCACTGCACTCCAGCCTGGGTGACAGAGCGAGACTCTGTCTCAAAAAAAAAAAAAAAAAAAAAAAGGACGATGGCTCCCAATGATCCCTACCTTGTGATTTACTTCTAATGAACAGAATACAGCAAAAGTGATGGGATGGCCCTTCTGAGATTAGGTTATAAAAGACGGTGACTTCCAGATTGCTGCAATCTCTCTGGCTCTTCTCTGATGAAACAAGGTTCCATGCTGTGAGCTGCCCTGTGAAGAGACCCATTTGGCAAGAAACTGAGGCAACAACCCGTGAGAAACTGACTCCTGCTAACCATCGCGAGTGAGTCTGGATGCAGAGCCTTACCCAGTCAAGCCCTGAGATGATCACAGCCTGTGAGAGAGCGAGCCTGAAACCCAGCTGCAAATTCCGGACCTACAGGAACCGTCGGTTAATAAATGTGGCTTCGAGGCACTAAGTTTTGGAGTAATGTGTTATGTAACAATAGAGTTCTGAGAAACAGATGATAATGGACCTAAATATTAACTGGTTTCAACTCACCATTCTGAAATACAGGTCTTCCTTGCAAGGGGCCAGGAATTCCTTTGAGGTGAGACAGATCTGGGTTCAAATCTTGCCTGTGTGACCCATGTAAGCTATAGACACCATCTTTTAACCTCGGTTTCCTTATCTGCAAAGTGGAGCTAATACTGTCTAAACTTTAGAGGGCTCTTGTGAGGACTAGAAGAGATCATGTATGTAAAGGGCACAATACATGTTCAATAACTGTCTGCTGAGTCTTCTCCAGCTGACACACGCTGCCTGCAGTGTGCTCTGTGAGGCCAGCTCTACTAGCAGGTCCTGTAGACGTCAGCAGTGGGGTAGGCCTGACCTGTCCTCTGAGAACAGCTCTCCAAGGCCAAGTCTTATGGAGCCATTCTTGTCTGCTGTGAAATCACCAGGTGACCTCTGGCAGTGTGGCAAGGAGAAGTGAGTGCCCATGGTCATTTTCTGGTGAACATTTTAATGCAAACAATATGGTGCTTTTAGATACTGGACATCTGTAAAGAATGCCAGAATGGGACAAACCTTTCTTAACACATTTCTGTGTGGTGAGTGTGCACTTATACGCCTTTAAGAAACAGAAATTCATGTCAAACTTCTCTGAACAGCTGATGTTTTACAGAATTCAGAATTCACCTTCTCAAGGAAAATTATAAATCCCATTTCTAATGAAACATAGTGTAAGACCAAAGCTTATTTATCCATCGAATACTAGAAGTAACCCCATATGTAACGTACTTTCCCCTCATTTCCTTCAGACACAGAAGACAAACATTTTGAGATAAATTTGAGTGACTCTGCTTTTATATGACAAGCCTATTGCAAAACTCAACTATCCAGAAAGGTTTCAAGAAACACAAGTCTGAGAAATGAGATTATAACAGGAGCCTGTGGATTTACTTCTTGTTCAACAGTAAGGCCAACCTTTCATGTCTTATCAGAAACAAAGGACACAATATTTATTGTAAGCCAGAATCATAAAAACAGCAGTGAGACAGTAAAACACTTGACAGTGGGCAATCTCAAATTAATAGCCTAGTAACAGTGTAGCACAAACTGTGAAGGTCGTCTTCATGTTCTGGGTTTGGGTTAAGTCGCAATCCCAAGTCCCAACAGTAATAAGAGTTTTTGTGGAGAGTTGGAAACCAGCTGTTTCTCATCCTCTGAAAATCTGAATTTTAGCACCTAGAACTGTTTTGGGTAGCCCTAAGAAGGCAGAGCTGCTTCAAATATTATATTCTAATAGTTACCTTCACCTTCTCTTAAAAATTAAATGGAGGCAGAGGACTGGATGCTGGCACCACCCAGAACTCCTGACTGGGGCTACATGATTCCTCCTGAAGAAATATCTCTGCAGGCAGTAATTGCACAGCTTAATTCTTCTAGACTGAACCACTTCAGATTTATGCCAGTGAAAAGCAAACATTGTTTGTAAGTCATTTAATTGTGTTACTGTCTCTCAACTTTATCAGATGCAGCTGAGGCAGGGAGGCCTGCGTGTGGTCCTGTGGGATGCTCTGTAGTGCTTCCAGGCTCGTTCTAAATGCTCACAGCCCAAAGTCCCTAACGCTGCTTCTTCCAGACACATAACAAACTACTCATTTAACAGGTTCCAGTGGCATTCATCTCAATCCAGAGTCCATGGTGAAGGCTGCATCTCCAACAAATTGACAACCTTGATTGCAGAACCATAAACTAGTACACACTTAGGTGCAAACCTGGTTTATTCTGTTCTTTGGTTAAATATTGTTTCCATATCCTTTCAGAGCATTAGGAGAACAAACATAATATTTGATAGAAAGACTGAAAACACATCCTTTGCTTTTCAGAGAAAAGACTGAATTTACACTGTGTACTATTAGAAATTCTTATAATTAGGTTAGACATAGAAGAAGGTAGGGCTTTTGTTGTTGCTTGTATATTTTGAAAAATACATTCCCCTGGGCTAGCCAACATCACTGTCCTGAGACCCAGACCTTCAGGACTCTCTTGACAAAGGCTGCTCCACACATGGTCAGAAAAATCGGGTCAGCTCATCATGTCGAGACTGCATGGTTCAGTGCTGCCGTCACTGCGCAGAGCCTCTGCCACGTCTCTTCTGAATACAGACAGATTTTGGGTGAACCTGCAGAAAGAGGAAGAAAGGGTCAAGGGTAGTAATGAGGCCAAGCCTCCATGAATTTCTGGACGATAAGGCCACTTTGGAGTTCAGGACTTTGGGGAGGCCCCTCCTGGAGGAAGGCTCTAGATTTCAGCTGAGCTCCTTTCTCTCCAGTTTCATCGCCACTGCTGCTCTGCCACCAGTACTGCCAACTCCTCATCCCTTCCTGGAAAACAGGGTTGCCACTAAATTCACTCTGACCATCTTGAGGTGTATATTTTGTGGTTCTACTTTTAAAAAACAATTTTAGAAAAGTTAAATTACACATAGATGGTAAGGATTATTAAAAAAAGAACAAAAGTTTATGTGCCAGGCATTGGATTGAGTTTACTGATAAGCTCATTTAATCATCACAAGTCTTCCCTGAGGTAGGTATGAGTATCCTCATTTTACAGGTGAGAAAACTGAATTTAGTAGCTGAAAAAGAGGGGGCATGGGGTTAGACTACCTGGGTTCAAATCCTAGCTCGACACTTACGAGTCAGATGATACTGGATGAATACTTAACCTCTTGTCTTGGTACCTAATATGAGTAGTTACTCAAGGGATTGTAGAAAGTGAGAATTTAGGCCAGTTGCAGTGGCTCATGCCTGTAATTCCAGCACTTTTGGAGGCCAAGGCGGGTGGATCACCTGAGGTCAGGAGTTTGACACCAGCCTGGCCAACATGGTGAAACTACGTCTCTACTAAAAACATAAAAAATTAGCCAGGTGTGGTGGCGGGCGCCTGTAAACCCAGCTACTTGGGAGGCTGAGGTGGGAGAATCACTTGAACCTGGGAGGTGGAGGCTGCAGTGAGCCAAGATTGTGCCACTGCACTCCAGCCTGAGAAACAGAGCGAGAATCTGTCTCAAGAAAAAAAAAAAAAAAAAAAAAGAATTTATTGGGTCAGTTTGAGGCAATGCCTGTATGCCTGTAAGTACTCAACACAGTGCCTGGTACATGGACAACAGTCAGTCTTCGCTGCCTATTACTCTCATTAAACTAGGAGGACCACCTGCCATCATTTCACAGAGCAGCTCAGGAGGCAGTACTCAAATTTCCAAGCCTTAGGTGAAGTAATTTCCACCGAGACACCTAGGGCTTCCCCATTCAAGTCTCATCGGCTGGCTTCTGAGGTTGTCCCTTTCTGCGTGATAGAGGATCTTGAAGCGAACAGTCAAGGGAATATGTCTGCAGACCCCAACTGACTTGGTCATGTATTACCAAAGCCCAGGCTGGTAACTCCAGAATACACTGATGATTTGCATTTCAAATGGAGCAGCATTTGAATGCTACTGCATTTATAAAAGGATGGTGCAGATCTTTTTTTTTTTTTTCTCCTGAACACATGTTCTTTCTCCATCATTCATTACTGTCTGTCTTTTCTACTAGAATGTAAGATCCATGAGGGGGAGGAACCTTAAATAATTGGTTTACCACTGGTAACCCCAATGCCTACACAGTAGATTCTGAATAAAGTTTTATGAACTAAATGAATGAATGAATAAAGTCAGACCTAGCTGATAAGTTCAGGCTCCTTTCATTTAGATCTCATTGGCAACTGAGATACCAGCCATTCTTAAATGACAGGCAGAGGGGGAAACTAATACTGTAGGTCATAGGCCCCAGATGCCATGCTTCACTGCGTTCTGTCATTTAAATATCACAACTGATTATTACCATCTCCATTTCACTGGTAAAGAAACTGAGGAGTAGAGAAGTTAACTGTCTACTGCCACACAACCTACAAAGGCTAGATATAAAATATCATCTTAAAAAAATTTTAATTTAAATTTATTATTTTTGAGACAGAGTCTCACTCTGTTGCCCAGGCTGGAGTGCAGTGGTGTGATCTCGGCTCACTGCAACTTCTGCCTTCCAGGTTCAAGCGATTTTCCTAGCTCAGCCTCCTGAGTAGCTGGAACTATAGGCACGTGCCACCACGCCCAGCTAATTTTTGTATATTTAGTAGAGACAGGGTTTCACCATGTTGGCCAGGCTGGTCTCAAACTCCTGACCTCAGGTGATCTGCCCTCCTCGGCTTCCCAAAGTGCTGGGATTACAGGCGTGAGCCACCGTGCCCGGCCAATTTGTTTTTAAATTAATATATAATATTTTTACATCATTATGGGGTACATGCAATATTTTGTTACATGCACACAATGTGTAATGATCAAGTCAGAGGATTTAGGGTATCCATCACCTAGAGTATTTATCATTTCTATATGTTGGGGACATTTCAAGTTCTCTCTTTTAGCTATTTTGAAATATACAATACATTATTATTAGCTATAGTCAGGATCCTAACTCAGCTATAACTGGGGTCTGTCTGACCTCAAGGCCTATGTTTGTTCAAATGCCAAGAAGTCTTTCTTCACTTTCCAGCAGATTTGCACTTTCCTTCTTTTTATCTTTCAGTTGTAGTTATTTTTTCGTATCTCTCCTGTTGAATTGTAAACTGCTTAAGGGCAGAGACTACATTTGATTAATCTCTGCATCCCAGTATAATGCCTAGTATGACACTTGGAAGAAAGCAAATAACCAATAATATTTACTGAATTTGGAATGGAACTGAGTCTAGGATCACCAGGTGAAACAGAAAAGGGACATCCATGTGTGAGCTGTGTCACGCACAAGACAGTTATTTTCTACAAACCTGGAATGTCTACTTTCCCCAGCGACACACTACTGGGCAATGCTCACCTGTCTCTGTTCTTGATGGACAGATTCTGCTCCACTCCTTCCATGAGGTTTCTGAAGCACTGGGCGAGGACCTCCTGCCTGGCGAGAGGCTGGCTGCTTAGCAGACTCGCTCTCAGTTCACTGAAATACTGATGGGCGACAGAATAGTGTCAGAGCTCTGACTCCAAACCCGGCCCGAAGACAGCTGGTAGGGGGATGGCTAGACCAGCTCTCATCTACTCAGGGCTCACTAATGCTCAGAGGAGTTTTTGTCTAGTTCCACGTTGAACTTTAAGCCCTTAGAGAAAATCTACGCCATAGAGACACTCCTACTTATAAATTCTATGATCCCTTCCATAAACTGTCTTGCTGTAATTGTTCTATTGTCACTGCTTAGGCTGATGAAGTCCTTGTCTCCTCTGTGGGGGACTGAATGCATGCTTTTCCTGACTCTCATCTCTTCTAATCACAGAAAGACTGAAATGGGAGGGGTCTCCAGGCTGAAGGAAATAACTAAAAATGCCCAGGGAGCATTTTAAGTGACTGAAGGCAAGGCCAAGGGTCTTTCCTCAGGCCTTATCATCTTTCCTGGCTTCCGTGAGTCACTCCTTAAACAACTTCGGGCTTTGTTCCAAGTCTCTGTCCTTGGGGGCTAGAATGGATTTACTCCTCTGAGGTGGGGTACTGGAGGGGCTTGCTTTAGTTTGGGGAGAGCTTTCTGGCACTAAGAAAAATATCTGTCATGCCTGGTCACAAATATCTGCACAGCCTTTTCTTTTCTGCTGAGGACTGTGGGCTTTTATACAAACACAAGCTCTGATGCTAAACACAGCTCCTAATCATTGGAAACAGCCTAATTTCAGCACAAAGACAACATTTTGCCAGTCATGCATTTATTCTTCCAAGCCCAAAAAGCATGATATTTAATTTCTATCATACATTAAAACAGCTTACATCAGAAAACACACATAATTAATATGTAGTCAGACTAATACTTAAATACTATATATCAGAGGCATTATACTTAAACCACAATGTCTTACTGAACAAGATTGGGAATGCACAAAACTACTTATTTTTCCCTTTTATAATGATGCAGTGACTCACACCAAATAGAAAATTATTAGTTTTTCATCCTAAACGGTGAAATATTGCCTCCATCAGTAAAGTATAATATTGTGATGTCATAAGCTTTTTCCAAACACTGAATTTGCCCTTATTCCCTCTCAATCATTTTAAAAGAACTGCTCTCTTTTATAGAGCTTGGATTTAAATCACAATAACACCGAGGGAAGATGAATGACAGTGCTACTGAATGTGGCTAAAATTGGATACTTCAGCACAGGTGAATGATGAGACAGCTCTTCTCTTTTTGATATATTTTCTTCTTCTATTAGTTTCCTTCCAAGGCTGGGATTTTAGTTTGAATTTTAATGCATGCAGCTGCCTCTAATCTCACTGTCTTTTTCCCCAGTACTATCTTAGTGTATAGACAATTCATTCTCCCAAGCTGTAATGCACTGTTCCTACTGACTACTAGGGAGATGCATGGGTTCAACAGGAAGCTGGAGAGGCTTGGGAGGTAGCCCAGGTGGTGAGTCCTCTAAAGAAGCTGGAGACGTGTGCTCCCCAGATGAAGGCTGCTGGTTCTGTGAGGAATCTCTGATGGGCTGCTGCTGCCACCATCTAGGGCAGTGGGGATCTCAGATATAAAGAGTGTCAAGGAAGGCAAAAAGGGTTGTTGCTCAGAATTCTCCTGGAATGGGGGGAGTGGAGTGAGGACAAGCTTGAAACACTACTGAGCAAACCACCCAGCTGGTGAGCGGGAGCTCTGGGCTCCAGAAGCACCTGTTCTGAGGCCTCTGCTTACCTGAAGAAGATCTGAGACCTTAGGGGAAGGGCCTTGTAGGGGAATACAGCCTCATGGAGTTCTCAAGGCCCCAGTTCAAACTCAGTTGGCTCTGCTTCTCTGTCCTTCATCATCACAGCTCACCCTAGTTTACAGCTGCTCTCTTCTCCCAGGGACCACCTCCCGTGACTTCCTGCAATCACACTCACCTTCTCATTGAGCAGGATGAGCCCCAGGAGAGGCCTGGATACTGACCACTGGTTCCGACAGTCTTCAAAGACAATGGTGTTCAGGAGGACAGACATCATCTAGAAGATAGAGTCACATAAAGATGAGATGCCCTGGCTCAGAGTCCCCCTAATCCCAGGCCTTTCATGTGCTCAAATTCCACCCCTCCATCTTGCTAACAGCTGTGAAAGCTCTTCCTGGACAAACAGCCTAGACTCTAGCTTATAATGTTGCCTGTAGAAACTATTGGCAAAGACCCCCAGCTAGCTCCCTGTGGAAGAGCTTCTACCTCTGAAAGCCTTGGTGAGAATATTCCAGATAGGCAGAAGTCAAGAGGTCACTGAGCTAAGATGATCAGTCCCTGTCTCTCAAACCTGATACGCTTTCCTCTATGCTAGGGCACCAGGCAAAAGCTCAGCTCACCTTCCTGTCTGCCTCCCATTTCACATAAGAGGTCATGTTATACAGATGAAATCTCTCCATGGCCCCTCTTGGAGAGAGGGAGGGGAAAGGGACCCATTCCATGTGACCCTGGAACATCATGTTTCCTGCTGCCTTAGGCTGTTCAAGGTTTCTCTTCACTCTTCGTTCACTAATTCACTCACTCACTCATTCATTCCTACATGTACATTCCTCATCCGTTCTCTTAAATTCAGCCTGTAAGACCCATAGGGGAGATAAGATAATACAGGCATTTATCACAACCTCTGACCTTAAGTAGCTTGAAACCTCCTGGGGGAGACTACTTAGGAGAGAAATAACAGGAAGTAGGGCTGGGCAAAGTGCAGTGGGCATGTAGAGGAAGGAGGGATGATTCTGGGTCCTTGAGGAGAAGTCAGGGAAGACTCCACGGAGAACATTTAAGGAGTTCATTATAAATGTGTTCTAAGCAGAGAAGGCATCAAAAAAGGAGGGTGTGGATGCACACAAAGGGTTCTGCAATGGTAAGAAACTTAGCATGACAGGAGAGAAGAGAGGTGGGCCAGAGGTGAGACGCTAGTGCCAGACTGGAAGACCCTGCTGAGGAATCTGGACTTCATCCTGATGGTAGCGGGGAGTTAGTGATATGCTTGCAGCAAAGGTGGAGACATGCTCTGATTTGCATTTAAGAAAGATCTCTTTGGGGACATGTAGAATGTGTACTGTGCAGGTGAAACTAAAGGAGGAAGACGAGGGATGAGGCTGCTGCAACAGTCCAGGCAAGTGGCTGTGAAACAGGTTTCTGTCATTCATGTGGAGCTGATGATACAGTTTCTGCTTCTTGGACTCTTTACCTCCTACCTCTAAGCTCTTCTGTTCCCACAGCTCCAGAACTCCTTTCCCCCAAAGAGGGCAGGGGAAATGGCCGTTATGTGGCAAAGATCACTGCACACACCATTCCTTATTGGGCTTCGGTGACCTGGCTTGTTTGGAACACAGCTGGTTTTGTCCTCTGGTATTTTTTGAAATCCAGTTTACCCTGTGATATCAGGCAAGTTACTGAATCTCTCTCTCTGTGTCTTAGTTTCATTAACTATAAGGAGGGAAATAATAATCCAGCACAAGGAAGCTCTGAGAATCAAATGAGATAGTGTATACAAAATGCATTGCAAAGAGTAAAAAGTGCTATAAACATTTAAGGTATATAGTAACAGTAATGAGCTTTTTTGCAGTTCTAAAAGTCTGCCATTCTATACATCATCATAACAATTAGGCTGGTTGCAAATGAAATCTGCCACTTGCGTATTTATTCTATGTCCAGTCTCTCTGGGGAGAGGCTAGGACTTAAGCTTGGGATGTTGAACATCATTTGCAGATCACAAGTTTCCATGTACAATCTAACAAGCCACCCAAAGTCATAGAGCCACAAATTACACTGACAAGCAAAACTAACAGATCCATCTAGACAGTCTAAAATATTATGGGCTTCACAATCTGAAGGCAAAACGGATAGTTTAATGGAAAAGATTAAAGTTAGAGGCACCAAATTCCTCCAGTAACTGACAAAGCATCTTGAAGTGATGCACCAATTACTTTATACGGTTCTCCTGTGTATTCATTTGTCTGAATGCATGTATTTATGTCTGTAATAAGTAAGGAGATGTTTGAATAAAACACTTTTCTAAAAATAAAGTTGGTTAAAATGGGTGATTTTTTTTTCTTTTTTATTCTTCTGGAAATATGAAAATTAGTGAGCAAATCTGCTTAAATGGTACTGACATGGCGGCCCATATCCAGAATTATTTTTTGTAATATCTTACAGTAGGGTATGGGGGAAACAGCCAACCAATGGGGGCAAATTCCTTTGCAGAAGGAGCATGTGGAAGAATACTGGATGAAATGCTTAAGTACAGAATCACTTCCCAGGTCATATGAAATCTCTGGTGGGAGGCTTTCTGTGGTTAACGACACAAATACATGAATACTGAAAGGAGACAGCTCTTGGCAATTCTGCACCACCTGGCCCACAGTGAGTCACAAGGCACCATCAGTATTTGGTACAAGGAATGGCTGTGTGAGCTGAGGCTCCAATCCTTCAACTTCTGCTCACTTCCAATACTGCCACAGGGATGGCTGGAATGGCTGTTTCAAATCTGCCCCACTTCTAGAGGTCTAGATCTAAATAAAATAAAATTAAACAAATGTGCCCAACATAGGCTACATTTTCTAGGGCCTATGTCTGAAAACACATACAGTATCTACTGCATCACCCTGAGCAGCTATTCTGCCAAACCAGGGAAGGGCCCATTTCTGAGGTAGAGTTGTAGGACTTGCTCCACTTAGGAGACGCACACTCCACACTGCCTCAGGTGCTTCCTCATTCTCCTCCATCCTTCCCACAGGATTTGGCAGGAGTTTTAGGAAATTTCTCTCAACGAAGAGAAACCAACGTGGTATGGTAAAGCCAGGCTTCGGAGCCAATCAAAATAGAATCCCAATCTGGCCCTGCCACTTAACTTGAGACATCGGACGAGTCATTTCACTTACTTGAGACTTTATTTCTCTACATATAAAATGGAGGACAGTAACAGCTACTTCAAAGGGCTGCTGTGAGGAATAACTTCTCTGACATATATCAAGCATTTGACACCGTGCTTGCCACATAGTAGGCATCAATCTACTGCTCCTTTACTGCTACTGCAGCTACTCTCTCTGGCCTAGCCCAGTGGAATTTCATGGCTCAATGAAGGGCCCCACTTCATGTCCTGATGAGATACAGATCAATGAGATTATAGTCTCTTCACAACTATCTAACTTTGTTGAGGGTTGCTGTAAAACACAGACACATATACAACGAAAATAGGAAACAGTTCAGAAAGCATCATTATTTGATCTGGCACATGTATTTGTAAGGATTTTGAATGACAATGTTTCTGTTGTTCTGAAAACCTGTAATTCTAAATAAAACACAAAATGACAAATATTTGACCTGGAAAAGTAAAACAAAGCAATGTTGTGTGATCTGTATCTCTGTTCATTCCCCAGCTCCTCTCTCACTCTTCTACCCTAACATGGGATGTAAAGCACAAGCATAAAGCAGATTGGACTTTCCTACCCAAATATGCTGCGTCATACTTTCTTTCATTTTTTTTTTTTTGAGATGGAGTCTCGCTCTGTTGCCCAGGCTGGAGGGCAACGGCACAATCTCAGCTCACTGCACCTCCGCCTCCCGGGTTCAAGCGATTCTCCTGCATCAGCCTCCTGAGTAGCTGGGTTTACAGGCACGTGTCACCATGCCCAGCTAAGTTTTGTATTTTTTTTAGTAGAGACGGGGTTTCACCATGTTGGTCAGGCTGGTCTCGAACTGCTGACCTCATGATCTGCCTGCCTCAGCCTCCCAAAGTGCTGGGATTAGAGGCGTGTGCCCACCGTGTCTGGCCCGAGTCATACTTTCTCTATGGCAAGGCGGTAACTAAATGCTCACTTTATATTTACGTATGTATGTATGTATGTATGTATGTATCTATCTATCTATCGAGACAGGATTTCACTCCTATCACCCAGGCTAGAGTGCAGTGGCGCGCTCTCAGCTCACTGCAACCTCTGCTCCTGGGCTCAAGTGATCCTACTGTCTCAGCCTCCCAAGTAAATGGGACTACAGGCATGCACCACCACACCTGGCTAATTTTTCTATTTTTAGTAGAGATGGGGTTTCACCATGTTGGCCTGGCTGGTCTCAAACTCCTAACCTCAAGTGATCTGCCTGCCTTGGCCTCCCGAGGTGCTGGGATTACAGGCATGAGCCACGGCACCCAGCCTGTTCATTTTTATTTTTAGAGATAGGGTCTCACTCTGATGCTCACGCTGGAGTGCAGTAGTGTGATCATGGCTCACTGCAGCTTCAAACTCCTGGTCTCAAGCAATCCTTCCACCTCAGCCTCCCAAAGTGCTAGGAGTGAGCCACCATGCCTGGCTGAAATGCCCAATTTAAACCACTTCTGTTCTGTCTCCTGCTGAAATAGAATAGACAAAGATGTGGCTTGTGTTGGATGCTTTACTGCTAAACAGTGAACCGTATTTTTTTTCTAAGAAAGTTGAAGGCTTAGTGTGTCTAGAATCTGATGGCTGGACATTATCAAAGAGCAGGATGGTTGGAGAAATAGGAGCAGAGGCTGAGAAAATGGAAAAAGCCAACTTGAATGAGTACAGGGTGATGACTGCAATGGCAGCGGGGTGGGGAGACCAGACTGCAAACTCCTGTGGTACTGTATCCCCAGGGCCTAGGGTTAGGCACTGACACACATCAGAGATTTAGGAAAGAGCAACTGAAAGAGTAAATACATAAATGAATAAATGCAAAAGGATGAATGACATATCAGAAGGTAAAGTATAAAGAGCTAAAGAGATGAAAGGGCACTATACAGAAAACAGGGAAGTTCTTGTCTTAATCTATGACTAAAACTTCAAATGATTACCTACTGGAAGTAATACATTGTTCATTTGCAAGGATCTTGTTTTTGTGTGTACAGCCTGAGAACTCTTCTATGCCACTGCTGTCCTATAGCCAGCTCGAGAGTGCCTTTGTAGGGACTTGCGGGTTGCAAAGGTCAAAGGCCTGGGCACCATCATTGCTAATGACAAGAACTTTCACCTAAGAGCA